GTTGTTGAATTTCTTATTTCTCGTGACGATTAAGTTTTTTGTTTTCACCTTAAGTGCATATAGTTGAACCTGTCCAAGACAACCGCCCATCGTAAAGTGGTCTTCTGAGACAAGTGGTCCTCTTGGACAGTGTCATTATAGTATCTTTAGAGCGCAAGTGAGGTTTGGGGAAGTAGGAAGCAGTTGTTTGATGAGGAGATTGTTTTGTACAGGTAGTCGTTAGAGCAGGTGTGACTGCATTCATCCAGCAGCCACTGCCACAAATGAGATCAAATATCGTGTTTGTGTGTGTGTGTGTGAGAGAGAGAGAGACAGAGAGACAGAGAGAGAGTGTGTGTGTGTGAGAGAGAGAGAGACAGATGGAGAGAGACAGAGAGAGAGAGAGAGAGAGAGTGTGTGTGTATGTGTGTGAGAGAGAGAGGGAGAGAGAGAGAGTGACTGAGAGAGAGAGAGAGCGACAGACAGACAGATAGGATCATCCGTAGGTAGTTCCACCAGAAATTCAGGAGCGGGAGAAGAGAGAAACTGAATGAAAGAAAAAAAATACAAAAAAAGAAAAGAAAGAAAACTAAATTCCGTGCAGTTTGCGTGCTTCCTCTTCCATTCGGCTCACCATGGACAAGCCGAGACCTCAGGATATTCTGTGTGGAGAAATTCTCGAAACCTCCCATCCTATCAATGAGCTCTGTGACTGATACCGCACCCAGACCTCCCCCAACCCTTCCTCCTCTTGGAGAAACTCTAAACCTTCCATCCCATCATGAATGAGCTCTGTGGTGACTAATACCGCATCCTCTCCCCCACCCCCCCCCCTCCCCTTTCCACCTTTCCTCCTCTTGGAGTAATTCTCTAAACCTCCCATGAATGAGCTCTGACTGATGGCGCATCCTTTCCCCCCTTTTGTTTCCCCACAGATCAACGCTGCCAAAAGGGATGCCTTTTTCCGCGCGGGCGGAGACGGCCCCACGACCAAGTTTGACCCCTCGGCCCGCTACGGAGGAGGGGGCGGCGGGGGGCACGACCGGGAACGACTCCTGAAGAAGGAGGAGACGGCCAGGTGGGTTTGTTTGTTTGTTTGTTTGTTTGTTTGTTCATCATTTCGTTTTTTTGTCTTGGTCTCTCTGTCTCTGTCTATGCCTGTCTGTCTGTCTGTTTGTCTGTCTACTTCTCTCTCGCGCTCTGTCACGCCAACCACCGTCTCTATCTCTCCTCTCCCTCCTCCCTCCCTCTCTCTTTCTCTCTCTCTCTCTCTCTCTCTCTCTCT